TTGTTGTAGTTCTTCCGTTTGGGTCAAGATTTTCCTGTTGACTTCCTGGAGAGGGCAGTAGGTGGCACCCCCTTCAAAATTTCTGTAGAAGTTTTTTCTAATTCCTCCTACTGTGTGATCTGTTTATCTCAAGGTCAAAAGCCCATGTTCTTGGAGCGGGAAATCGGTGGACCCTCTTCAAAAGTAGTAGTAGTGAACAGGCTGTAGGTGTAGGTTGATAACAGCCCAAATATCAATTGGCCGACCTGCCGGGCCCCTTTTGATGGCCCCAGGAAGCCAGCCCCAGGTTCCTCGACAGACAGTAGGTGGCCCCCCTCAAAATTTCTTTAGAAATGTTCTATTTCCACGACTTATAGTTCTCCTGTTTCCTTAACAAATTTGGCGCCTAACTAGTCCCACACGGTTCGAGGGATCAGGCCCAAAAACACCCCCACCTCTGAACCTACCACAGGATGTGTGCCTGTATCTCTCTCTCTCATTAGTGCTGACATTTTCAAACAAACAGCAAAAAGGCAAAACGCCGTCCCATAGGAAATGAATGGGAAGGCGGAAAAATGGGCTCAAAACATAGGCCGCTTCCGGGACTAATCACTTGGCCCCATTATCGCTGATAAACCTCATTTTAAACGGGTAGCGAGAGATGGGCCTAAAAAATACTGGAGCCACGAGTCCTGATCCCACACCGTTTGGCCGCAATCACTGGTGACATTTTGGGAAAAATCAGAAAAATACCCAAATGTCCTCTCCACTCTAGTGACATCATCACAGGCTCTGACTTTCCAGTGGGAGAAATGACAAAAAAAGGCCAAACTCCTTCCTCTCATGCCCAAAACGTAGCGCCGAGCGGGACCAAGAGGCCTAAAAACATGGCCACCGATGTCCTCTTTCAGCTGATTTTACTGCTATTGACCTGGACCTCACGGTTTTCCCGCCAAAGGGCCCAGAGGCTTTCCCGCCTCCATATTGTACTGTTCTGTCACTTTCTTTGACCTACCGCGTCACCGCCTTTATCTCAACCCAGACATATCATACATCATTGCGTAGGTCTATGTCTCAGCTTTCAGCAAATGTGACTCTGGTCCTGCTCAGCCCCATGGTTTATGGTCAGCATTTCCCAGAGTGCAGCCAGGTCCCTCCCACTCTGTCTCCTCCAATGGCCGTGCTTTGTTTCTGTCTTTCAGGAGCCCTTATAGATACAAGCCAACATCATAGACAACCCACATGTAAGTCCTTTGACCTTTCC